CCCGGCTTTCAATAAACCTAGCAGGAGGAGCTTAGAAGAGGATCTAATAAACTTCTCGATGTGCACGGAATGTTGACAAAGGTTCCGCATAAACTGCGCTATTCAGCTTTTCAGGAATTGCTTATAATACAGTAATTTCATAATTTCATTAAAATGCAAACGGTTAAACCCAGGCAAACCATTCAAATATCATACCATACGCTTTTCACCCACGGCTTTTTACAGGTGCCTTTTTTAATATTAATTTAAACATTCTACTATTGTTTTTTATAGGTGCCAGTTCTTATAAAATGTTCGAAGATAGTGCGATTTCTGTGATGAGTTTCTTTAGTTTCGAGTTAAATATAACGATATTCGTACCTTTCCAGCAGGGAAAACTATGATAATAATAAATTATATTACTGCAGTTAATTAAGAATAGCAGGCGCTAGTTCGCCATTAATATAATTCATAAAAAGATCAGCTGCTGTGCGGACATCCTGGAGCGGCGCCAGTCCCACGAGCCCTCGGGTGAAGACGGAATAAATGTTCGTACGGCGGACGGCCGTATATTCTGCCATCCGATCCACCGGTGCGACTTCGTTGAACTTTTCTGTGAGCCGCTTCAGGATGTCCCCATACGCGTCGTGGTGACCGGGTAAGGATGAAGTTGGTAGCCGTGCGCATAAGGCTCGTCAAGGCTTGCTTCCAGTTTTTTCGCCTGTTCGTTTGGTTCACCGCCGCGCCCGTATTAGGTAGAAGTATGACGTGCCGATCTCCCCGATTGATTTGATGGCTGCCGTGCCTCCCCCGTACGGTACGACATGGTCCATGATAAGGACCAGCTTGGATCCGTACTGGGGAGTTTTTGCCACGGGCATCAGACGTCTCCCAGTCGATGGGACCAAGCAGGCCACCTTCTCCCTCCACGAGGGCGTGCCGCTCCTCCGTACGCTCCGCCTGCTTGATGATTTCGTCGCCTAGCGCCGCGATTTCCACTTACAGTTTTTTTCCGTGACTGGAAGTACTTCTTAATCGTGGCGCTAACTTGCATAAATTCCTCAGGCACCGCGGCAGTCTCCTGCACATTATTTTATTAAGGCTATTTTTTAAAAAATGCTACAACACCAGCAAGACAATCGCTCTTTACCTCGATGACGAGAAACATCACACTTGGTTCTGAAAACACCCAAACCAGCGTTGTCAACAAGGTTTAAGCGCACACAAGGCTATCGGTGCACAAGCAGCACCAAGAGGCTGCGCCGTTCTATCTCCATACAGAGGCGTGACCTTTGATTTAGCTAGTTCAATGCACAAGACCTTTTTCCTGCTCAGTGCAGAAATAATATGGGAACTGAGTGATGAAATTTGACACCATTAGTCCGCAAGATACCTCCAGGGTGGTGGCTTGGAAATAAAAGTTACAGAGAGCTGTGCTATGCAATGTTGGCCCACCAAAAGCGAGAATCATTACTTCAGGGAGTACTTTCAAAAGTATCCACAAAACAAGGTGCAAAAAGAACACATCCAGTGTGTGTATACATATATAAAATGCTGATGTCGGATAATATTTATTTATTATCCTCCTGTGACGGCGCAAACAAACAACTAAAGAACATAGCGTAGCAGCACCTGGAGTTGTTAATGTCCAGTTGCTACGGGCACAAGATTCACGAAATCACGAGACAATTTTACTAGCACGATTATCTTAACTGGAAATCTTCATGGTAGATTTGCAGTGGACATCGCCAGCAGTGGAACAGTTGGCAGCATTTTTTGCTTACACCCGGTCCAGCTGCCACATCTTGTCAATGAACTTGCACCACGACTTAGTAAAGCACTTTCCGGTACTGTCAAACGTGTACGCAGCTACAACGAATCGACATGGTTATTGCCTTTGGCAAGTGCGTAGCTAGAATAAACTCGCATGCGGATGACCTTTAATTAAAGGTTTTAACAGTAAGTTATTGCTAGAATGTTACCTCAAAGAAGTCAACAGCTAACTGTTAGCAGCCAGACTGCCAACGCGTAGTGCTTTGCACTGTTTGCGTCTTTAGCACGGTAACAAAACGGTACGATGACCATGTCTACTTACCGTACCATGTCCGGTACGGTAACAAAACGGTACGATGACCATGACTTACCAATTATTATGTATAGAAAGGAATTTTCGTCATCCGAATATTGCTGTCTGCCGGTGTAATGCAAGGTGCGATGGTAGGCCGCTCTCCGGTGGTGGTGATACGAGTATTTAAATATCAAAGCTATTGTAAAAATGGTGTAAGGTGCCTTCGCTCGGTTAGGAAAAAATCGTAACAAAATGCTTCTACAATTCAAAATACCGAGGAAAGAAAAACATTTCAAATATCACAGTACCCCACATTTTTTTTTAAAACGCTTAAACCACGCAGGTTGAGAATACCCGTTAGCCGGGGTTCGGGCGGTCCATTCAGAATCATGGTGGTTCGATGTAGAAGGTTCAACAGATGGGACTGCATCTCGTGATGGAGGGCTCCGACCCCTGCAGTCGAGTACTGGGCTGTGGTTGCCGTGAGAAATGGGTCCGGTGTCATATTGCTCTGGCATCCTGTGATAGCTAATGGCCATTTTCTTTATACTGTATAAACTAATAATGGCAGCGCACGCGCTGAGAACACAGATTTTTCGATGGCGGAACTTTTTGCTTCTGGTACTCTTCGTCCACTACGCACAACACGTGTAGGCGCAGCAGTTCATGGTTCGGGATGAATTGTTAATTTTTGACATTCATGTCAAAATCTTCAATTATATTAATTTTTTATTGCACGACAAAAACATAATGTTTTAACAAAATTAATCAAGCTATATTTCGCATTTTTAATCAAGTTAAATTTCTTATCGTCAGAAAATGCAGTAATAACCATGCTGCCTTGCAGTCTACGACAGGTTTCCCTGTCCCAAACCATAAAACAAGATTAAAACGGTATCCGCAGTACAGGTACTTACCGTTAATCCGTCTGCAGTAACAGTTTTCCGCATTTTGGGCATCATTGTCATTGTAGCATCTGATTAAAAGAATACTTGTAGCGTTACTGGAGCAAAAATTCAACTACAACACTGTCGTGTATTGTACCACCATATTTTATTAGCGAAGTACGACGACTTAAACTGATACTAACTGGCAATGATCTGACATAAGTACATCTGATCAGGGCGTTTTACAACGGACCGGTTCGCCTGAAGCCCAACGGTTCGTTGGGGTTAGGTCGGCAGTTGGGTTGCAGCGTCGTTGACGGTGTCATGAGTTCTTTCCTCCGAGGATCGCGTATTCCGGGCTTTATCAACAAAGCATTCGAAGTATTCGTTCATAAATATTCCTAATGCAACCGCGTTTGCAAATGTGCATATGTCTGCTTCCGAGCCTTGCTCGTTGGATGAGACTTGGATGTATTAGCGCAAAATGTTTCCGGCTCCGCAAATTATTTTTAGCCGCCGATTGCTAAATTTTACGTAGGACATTACGAAAATTTCGATGTACAGATTCCGGCTCATATCCTGTCATTTTGTCGCGGATAGGGTAATTCTGTAAGCATATATCGTGCACTTCCTCCAGTTTTTGCTGATGGAGATAACCTCTAATTTTTTAGTTCTTTAAGTACAGAAAACACCAGAATTTTCTCATAATACTGCTGTTTTCTGTTGTTCCATTATTAACTTGCAGTTATTTCGAACTAGTATCTGTACAGGCATAACTATATAACGGGTAAACAATTCTACACCGTATTACGTTGGCGGACAATTTTGGTTGTAAGAGTTTCCGTGTTGAGCCACATTCAGGAATGACTGCGATGGTATTCCTAATGTGTGCCCGGTACGGAAACCAACTAACCATCAGTACATCCTACGTATGGCGTATTTTTCACCAGCTGCTATTACTCATTCGACTGGGAGGCAGAGTAGAAGATGATCCAAACGCAAAAATAGGACTATCTACCACTACAATTTTGTGAATAACATACTGAATTAAGTAGCACTGTAACAGAAATACCAAACGGGCATAAAGCGTACTCTAATCGCCTGTGCGTTTTTCCGGCATATCGTGCGGTAAAGAAAGCACTCGTTAAGGTTTTTACTCCAGGAGTGCAAAGGAGCGCTAATGCAAGTACGAGCAGTTTGCTGACTCCGATGCAATAAGTTTAAGAACGGTAAGTGTAAAATAATAAGTTTAACTGATTAAGTAATAATTTAAGTACTTATGCACACGTGAATTTTTACTAGCACGTAATTGCTAAACCGCCTCTCCGAGCTGCTCGGGGTTCTGTAATGAAGAGTAGTAATGCAGATAAATACTTACAGTTTCGTTATTATACATAGTAACAGAAATTTTTCGCCTGTCAGAATAATCATATTCGAAACACGTACTGCGTACCTCTACCATAACGCAATTAATGTATCAGAATTGCAATAAGATCGGTTTTAATACTTGATTCTGGTACTAAAGGGTTCAGTAAAAGTTACTGTACCACTTAATTTTTGCAAACGTGCAAAGGGTTGTGCTGCACATTGCGGTGAAGGTTCGTGTTCTCACTCTGTCGTTTGCAATTGTAACTCGTCAGTCTGCGTCACTCTGCGATCATTAACTGCGTTGATCTATCGGCGGATATTTGAAAAATACCATAAAATTTTCGCGGTGAGTTGATGAGCAGGATTAATGAAACATAACCGAAGCTAAAACGGTTTCCGGCCAACTGAATGTCGACTCTTTGATCGGGGAATCCAGTCTGTTTGCACGCCGTTTATTTTCCATTCTATTTGATGTGTGGACATTTTATGTTCTTCACGCTTATGTCAGACTGGCTGATAGACTGGGTTTGTTTTTCAGGTTGTTTTATCGTGACGAGAACCTTTTGTTTGCTACATAGTACATACATTTGAAATTCCAAGACTATACACTCGCGCTTGAAATATTTAGAAATTTATAAGTGTTCAAATCGGCTTGGGTAAAAATGTTCTTCACTGCACTGAGACAGAACTCTTCAATGCCACTGTCGTTTACGATTATTTACTTCGTGGTAACAAGCAAGCAAAAACTTCCGATACCATCAATCTGAAAGCACCGAACAGTGGGAAGCACACGATTATATTGACAGACTAGACAACCCGATCATCTTTAAAGCCTGTCATGTAATCCAAAAATTCTCTATAAGTCTCAATACATCTTTTAGAAGCGCCGGTGCGGAAGACCAAACCGGTTGATTCCGTTGTGCCGGGGTCTACACTGGACACGGTAAGATTTCCCCGGGTACACTCTACTTTAATGGGCTCGTAAAAGGACGCTCGTTTCTGTCTTGTTTCGCCGGTTTTTGCGACAATCCACGAATGCAGATCGTGGAGTATCACGCGGCAGTAGAGCGTGTTGTCGCCGTCGAACACGGTCGTCATTGCGTCCACCAGATCCAAATCGGGTTCCGGAAACGCTACCCGTCCCAGGCGGCACGTGATATTCAGCGGATTAACCAGATAAGACGGAATCTCCCCTGGAGCGGCAGTGACGGGAGGCCGGAAGGTCGTCGTATGCAGTGAAGCGGTGGTTTGTTTTGTGGGAAGTGTCCCATCAAATGGTACGCATATCGGGTCTAAAGAATGCACCGTGTAAATTATTGCACAAAACAAATGAACTTTCCAAAAATACTCGCATCGTACGAGCTTCGTTACAGCATCAACACAATTTACCTTCGCTCCACCCATCTTGGTCGTGGTTGGCATCGTTGATGGCCTGTAAGTGCCGGGTCAAGGGTTCGAAGAACTCGATGAGTGGTCTGGCATCCATTTCTCTGCCTCCGGTAATTGTTTCCATAACGTCCTGCCACGGCATAGACGAGCCCATCTTCAACGCATCCCTGGAAATGCGACATGAAATTATGCAGTACCGTGGTTATTTATAGAGAAGAGCATGTTATGAGGAACAAGCAATAACTGTAAAAACTTATACGTATGGTTCCTTCTTGGTGGATACTGGAAACGTCTACTTACCCCAAAAGTTTGCCGGCATTTTTGCTACCGTCGATATCGCACTGATAAAGCGGTCCCGTATGGTTAGCAGCAGCACAGAGTGCTTTGTGGAACTGGAACTGGATGACAAAGCTCACGAAATACCTGCCAAAAGTGTTGTTTGCGCTTAACCAGAGTGGACACACGCAATGGATCCAGTTATTACCGCATGTAAGGGACATCCGCGGGAATGTGATATTTTGCACCTAAATACGACAGTTTACGGTAGACCGTGTCTGTCATGTGAAAGTAGTACATGGAAGAAATAAACGCGCAACATAACCACATAGATACAAAATGTAAGTACACGAAACCATAAAATAGATATATTTTTCAGTATTTACCAGGATCGAAGTCATCCTCCGATCGATTCACAGGGGCACAGACTCCTTGGTATTTCAGCCTGCAAAAATGTGCAATGTTCATTAACATGCAAATGCTACTCTATATAGAAACAAGCGTCAATCATTTCAGCTGGCGATCGTGAATGCGTAGCACATACCGGTAGTCCCACCACTTCATATTATATTCCGCTGGTGGGATTTTGCCGCTAAAGATGTCGTAGCGATACATATCCATCATCAAACCGAATGGCAAGAATGCAATTTTTTCCAAAGCAGTGGAGTACATGAAATTTAGATCCAGCTCTAAAACCGAAAACCACTGATAATTCTGACACTACTAAATTTCACTGGATTGCAGTAGTACACCACAAAGCATACGGTTATCATTCGTTGGAGTGTTGGGGGGAAGCAGACCGATCTTCTTCAAATGTGCCGGTGTGGAAACACTCAGTGACAAGACATCACCAACGGCTTCGTGGAAGCCGTCATTGGCTCCTCGACGGAATGGAACTGGGAGATGCTTGTACTAAACACCGTAAATGTTAAAAAACAGCTCGTTTCGTTTTAATAATTTTCTTTATGTAATGGTGTACCTGTAGGTAGTATTCAACATGTCCCATTTCGCTGAAACATTAGCGCTTCATGAACAATTTATTGTCGAAACATCAGAAATAGCGTGACTTACTGGTGTACGGTGATAAAATCGTCCATTGTAACGGCAGTACACTGTTTTATGCTGCAAACATACACTGTTAACATCTTGTGCTAGCGAAATATTGAAACAAATGTTATGCCTAGTTATAACCGCAACGTAAACTCCTACCCACCGGAAATCCTGTTGATTGTAGAAATCCCAAGCCGACGCGTGACAGGTCACCAAGCGATCTTCTGGCTTCTCTAGCATAGAGTAATCCCAGAATCTTTGAGGCATGGGTTCCAAGCCCAAATCGGTGAAGAATTTGTCGGATACATTGAACATATAGCGAGGAGTGTAGCCTTGGTCAACCATTGCTTGGGTGACATCCAGTGGCTCTTTGTTGGGGTACAGTTGGGTAAAGTTTTGGATAGCACCCCATGTTTGCGCCCACATATTACCTAACGAAAATACGATATAGAAGTCTGTATGTTAGAAGCATCGATTTCTCCAGCAGCCTGTTAAAAGTTAGGGGTTTTTTTGAGTTAAATGCTCAGTAAAAATTCGCCTGCTGATATAATTCAACAGAAAATCATTGATACTCTGCAAAAGTTGTAATTAAAATTCATAAATTTATTTACCCTGTACATACCAATAATTTACGATTGATACATAGGTACAGTTGCTGAGAGCAGCAAGCCGTCACATCTAGACTACGGTACATCTAGATGTGACTCAGTTTAATTTCTCAATATGCACAAGGCGAGCTTCAATCTAGATTGCATAGTTTATTTCATGCATACCTAACAGATGGGCGGGAATAGGACCGCGGGGATTAATTTTAGCCGTAGGATACTGCTGCATTAGCTTGCGACGCACAAACGTATGCAGAGTTTTATATAATGGTTCCAGTTGTCTCCAGACACGATCAATGTCTTCCAAGAACTTGGTATCATTGTAATTCAAAGTGGGCTCGACATAAGGTGACCTCCAGGCTTCAGCATTATTAGCGTATCCTGTTACAACGACAAAAAAGCACATGGATAAAGGGACACTTCATTGTCCGATGCTGCAAAGCATAAATATTGTCGCAGATACCAACCATCCAATAGGGCGGCTTCGTTCTTAAGGGCAACATATCGTTCGTAGAACCTGCGCATTTTCTTGCCACTGGCATCTCTCCAGGCCTTCCACAAGTACAGAAGAAAATCTGGATCACGATTTGTCGACAGCTCATGGGTGATGTGGGGTTCCAGAGCCATCAGTTGCTCTCTAGGGCACGCTGCGATATTGGTAATGCTCTGGTTGCGGCAGACCATTGCGGTCGAATAGATCTCCGTCATGTTAGTTCCGAGATACTGAAGTTCGGTGAACTTTTCGCTCGGTAGACCGGCATCACCAAGTTTGGTCAATTTGTCATAAAGCCGCTTGCTGGTGAAATCTCCTATTTGGGTAATGTTGGAAAATTCTCGCTTGATTCTTCGCGCTTCGTCTTGGTCGAATTTTGCACTCGCTGCAGCTTTAGCGTTCTAGAAGGATATACATCAGCTATAGTGTGAGGCAGTGAGGCTGATTTTCGGGTCATTACGCCAAATATTTCAACGAGAAATAGATTTATGTATTTTTTTTATTTTTTAGTAATGTTTTTTATTTTTGAGTAACTTTTTTAATTAGCACCATTAACACAATACAAATATGGTAATTATAGTAGAAGAAGCCCAACTTTTGCGCTAATACGCTCCTGCTGAGTTTAAGGCAGTCAAAATCCCGTTATTTAAGAACAACGTTAACACTATCATAATTATATAACCGTAAATTACGTCGTAAGCGTGTAAATACCATGATTTCTCTGTTGTACTCCGTGATGTTGGTATTGTAATTCCACGATGCCTCAACCGATGCAAAGGTCACGTTTTGCGCCCGTGGATTGTAGTCAGTATACACGTAGGCTTTGAAGGAGTCAGATACGCGGCTCTCGCAGAATGGCTCTGCCAAAGTATTCCCCAAGAGGTGTAAATGGAATTTTAAGACTATTATTTACAGTTCATCTTACGATTTGTCCATCCAATGTGGTTATTCCTATTCAGTTCCTGGAGCTTCTTGTAAAGAGGCTCGAAAAATTCCAGAAGCGGCCGCGCATCCATAGTGGTGTTGCCGGTCAGTACGCGCATAGCTTCCTGCCATGGCTGTGTCGATCCCAGTTTCAAAGCATCACTGGAAAAAAATTGAATGTTTCATTACGCTATCTATTGCCCGTAAAAGGCTATATAATGAAGTATAAAACGTATCAGTTTTAATCTAACAACTAAACAATGAAAGTTAAAAGTAAATTATTTGGAACGGTGCGCTTACGCCATTGCTTTTCCGGCCTCTTTACTGCCATCAATATCGCAAGTGTACAAAGGCCCAGTGTGACCAGCTTTTGCGCACAAGGCTTTGTGGAACTGGAACTGGATAATAAAACTGACGAAGTATCTGGAATAAACAGAAGTGCAAGTTTAGTTATCACGAAAAAATTGAAACACGACCAAGAATTGGTGCAACAAAAGCATTCCCTCTTATCTACATCTTTTGAGTCATGTTTATATTGCACGATATGAGTATTTCAATATATATCACGCTGCAAAAAAATATTTGCATTTTATTCCAGTTGTAAAACAGAATCATGTGGAAGATGCTATACCTCATGTACGGGACGTCAGCAGGAACATGGAATTTAGCGCCAGCGTCAAAGTACTCTTCGCCTCGCGGTTGACTTGGCGCGCAAATACCTTGGTACTTGACACTAAAACCGAATTTAGTACGGAATGTATTCAGTATTATTTTAATTTGGTTGTCAAAGTTGCACAGATTAGTTGTGAATAGTACATACAGCAAAAATAATTTGTTCTATTACTTACACGTATTCCCACCACTTGGCGTTGAGTTCTTCCGGCCTAATGATACCGGCAAAAACATCATACCGATACATGTCAAGCATGAGCCCGAAAGGTAGAAAGGCTATCTTTTCCAAAGCCGTAGAGAACTGGAAGTTGAGATCGTTTTCCATTCCTGTGGGGTAGTCAGCATTATCATCCAGCTTCCAGGCGCTATATACAACCAGACCCTTTGTGTCCACACTTACGGTTAGCGCTCGTGGTGTCGCCAGCCAGAAGTCCAATCTTTTTCAAGTGGTCAGGAGTGGACACACTTAGTGCTAAAACATCTCCAATGGCTTCGTGAAACCCATCGTTGGCCCCATCGCGGAAAGTCACAAGCTGATGCTTGTACTGCAGGAAGTATCTAAAGGTTCGTACAACGTGCCGGAAACAAGTTCTCAAAAACTGCAGTACTTCTTTGCTTACTCGACATGGCCCATTTCACTACAAAGGAGAATGCATTAAGCACAGTAACGTACCCAATGCGAAAGGCTTTCTTACTGGTGAACAGTGAAAAGATCCTGCATCGTAATATCAGTGCACTGCTTAATTCTGTGGAAAACAACTGTTATTAATTTATGTGAAACCTGTTAAATGGCATCGTACAATATACCGGAAATCTATGGCATTGTAGAAATCCCAAGCCGAAGCATGACAAGTTACGTCGCGCCCGTCTGCAGGCTTTTCAATCATTGAATCGTGCCAGAATGAAGGAGGCATTGGTATCAGGTTAAGGTCCGTGAAAAACTTTTCGGAGATGTCAAACATTCTGATAGCAGTATAATTCTGGCGCTTCATCTCCTGGGTGACGTCGAGTTTAGGCAGTTCCGGATACAGTTGCGTAAAGCCAAGGGTACCCAACCAAGATTGTGCCCACATGTTACCTGTATGTACGTATAGCAGTGAAAGGTCACTGCTACCCCCATACCAGAAAAAATCATTCACAGCTGTCATGTCTACCGTGCACGAGCGCTCTTCAGTACTTACCTAAAAGATGCGCCGGAATGGGTCCCAATGGATCATTTAAAGATCGTATTGGTCCGTGCTTCTGCGCGAGCTTGGATCGGACGTAGGCGTGGAGCTGTTGATACAAGGGCTTGACTTCATCGTACAGGCGTTTGACGTCGTTGACGAAATCTGCATCAGTATAACCAAACTGTGGTTCGACGTAGGGTGCTCTCCAGACCAAGCCGTTATTGCTATCAAAGCCTATAAAAGTTGAAGCAACTGTTAAAATGCGTAAGTAAAACTGGATGGGAGTTTAATACTTTACGATACCGTACCATTAAGCCAAGCGGCTTCGTTTTTAAGTTCCACATAGCGTATAAACTGGTCCCGCATTTTTTTGCCGCTTTGCTCTCGCCATTCATTCCACAGATGAGCCAGTATAGGTTCCGGTGTGTCTGGATTGTCGAATTCTCGAGTAATACCCGGTTCGAGATCCAGAAGTTCTTCTGGTTTACAACGGGCAAGCGGCGTATGAGGCGATCGACAAACTTTGGCCGTGGAGTATATCTGGCTCATGTTTGCCTTCAACCGTGCCAGCTCGTCATACTGCTCAGCGGACAGTGCCGCGTCCCCGATCATCGCTAATTTCCGATAGAAACGCTGCAGTAGAGGATCATCCAGATTTACATCATGGAATGTGCTTTTCATATACTGCGACATAGACTGTGAATAGTTGGCGGTTCGGGAAGATGCAGCCACCTGTATCAGTCCGAAAGAATACGCTCAATACTATTGCAAACGGAATTCGTATGGAAATTATGTATGTATTAAAAGAATTAACGAAAAAAACTAAACAGAAAATTTTTGATTGATATTCAGCAGCAACATCAAATTTACAGATCATTTGCACGGTTTTATCTATAGCTTTAGGAACTCGAACGTTATTATAAGAATACTGTAATTATAAGAATCGAAAGAATGTCGAATTCAGTACTAACAACAAGCTCTATGCACGGTACTGCAAGCAGTTTACGAAATCGTTTCGTACCAATACACTGTGATTTGTCGTTGCCTGTACGTGATATTTAAGAAAGAAAGGTTATTGAAAAGTGCTAATTTGCCGTATTGTGTTTTAAACGCAACAGTGATGAGCAAAATGCAAGTTGAAAAAAACAAATTAACATAAGATTGCAGAATGTGCCGTAAACAGCCGTAATGCTTAATTGGAACTTTGGTATAATTAGCTACCGAAGTACATGTGAGTAAGAGCCATCTATTTCACGTTCCCGCCAGCAGCGGATTTACAAATGGATAATTATGCGAAATCCTATTCCATTACCATAATTTGTTGGTTGTGGTCTGTGATGTTAGTTTCATAATTCCAAGTAGCTTCCACTTCTGCGGCCATATGCGCACTGATTCCAATGTCATACACATTATAAACCCAGTTTCTGAAGGACTCCTGGGTCTCTGCGGCCGTAGCTGAGCCGACAAGAGCGAGGACAAACAGAGCTGAAAAACGAATAACGAATAATTACGTTTCATTGTCAATCTGTTTGATAATGTGCTTTTGCATTTTACTAACCGTCCAGCAAACGCTACGCCACGCTTTTATTCGCTTTTTAGATTAACCGAGCTTGCCAGGAGTTTATTTCTTCTATCGGTAATTGCTAACCACATACAGCTTCACATTGCTGTTTACGTTCACAAAATGTTGATCACACTGATTCACACATACCGGCAAACGTTGCCATTTCCGCTCCTTTTATAAAACTTCCGAATCTCGACAAGAAATTCGACCATCCAAACCAGGAGAAAAGCTAAGGGACAAGTCTACAGTGAAATGACGGATGACCGGTGCTCTTCTCCACTAGACTGATTTTAAGTTAGACTGTTGCAGTCTTGCAGTGACACTGCGACGCTGCGTGATAAGGGTTCGGAACGTAAATCGGATGTGATAAGGCCCCAGTTATCGCCGTGTATTGTTCGGTCCCATCCTGTCAATAAACCATGATTATCCAACTTCTCAATGAATATTCGCAACACCGATAAAGCCAAGAAAACATTTTAACTCACCCCTTGTTTGGAAGGAAATCGATAAGCGCACCACTGAAACAGCCCGGGTAGTTACGAAAGAGTTGTGGAAATGAATTAATTAACTGTTATATTCTATTCTCTGATTGTAGATAACCGTCAAATATGCTGTCAGTTTTAATGGAAACATGATAAGAACGATAAGAACAAGATGGCAAAGTAAACCACAGTTCTGCTGCTGTAAAAGAGATCATACTTTACAGTATAGGAAAAGGTTCTTCGGAACCGGTTTGAACTGAAGTAAGTATATTTTTTTACGTTCAATTCGAGCACGATTTTGACGTGTAAGACAGTTTTACTGCTGCTAAAAAGATATACGTATCAAATTGCTCTCCACTCATCAATTCCGAAAGTCGACAACGTACAACGCGTGACATGACAAACTATGGGATATAATCAAAACCCTCTTGCTAACTGAACGTGTGCCGGTCCAAACTTTGTAGAGCACAAATGAAAAACAGAAGAATTTAGCACAAAACAAACCAAACGATATTTCAATAAGATTGATGTTTGGAAAAAATTCTACTCTACGGAGTGCAATGTAAAGCAAAAACGGTGTAGAACATCGAACGTGGTCGGAGGTTGACCAGTGATGCATCCAATAATGATTGTCGCAATACATCAGAACGCCACTATTCCTCGTTGAATGAACCACGTTTCCTGCTCACTGTCCGACCGGGCCCAGCACTCGAGTTGTCCGCCACTGAGTGGCTTTGACCAAAAGACCGTGATCGTCTGGGCACAACGCGGTGGTTCCCCGAGGTCCGACTGATGGTTCGACTCGATAATTTTCTCAAACGGATGGTAAAAGAACTGGCCCAACTTGTGTAGAAAATGACGACTAGGCGCCGTTATAAACGCTCCGTTGTACTTCCAGATAGAGTACGCCTCAGCATCCGGCGAGCAGTGAAACTGCAGCGAGCACGTGGCGGAGAACTGCCGATAGGGATACCGCAACGTGATATTCAGGGGCTTCTCGAAGATGTCGCCGATGTTTCGCGGTCGGGGCAGCAGCGCGAAGGACCGCACTGGACAGAGATACGTCGCTGGGCAGCGTTGGACCGTTGGTAGCAGGTGTATGTTCCCGTGCTGTTATGCGTGACATTGGTGATGTCCAGGCTGTTACCGTTGATGCGCACGCTGATGTCCGGCCCAACATATCGCTGGCTGCTGCAGTTATAATGCGCTTGGACGAAGGGCTTTCTCTGAGTCCACACAATGTCACCCAACATTGCCGTCAGTAGGTCACCAACGCGGCAGGTCAGGGTCAGGCGCTGGCCAATCAGGGGTCGCTCGACGTCGGGCTCTGGGTCGGTGTTGTGCTGCATGGCATTTGGATTCGGCAAGGTGACGACATTGTGTTGAGCAAGTTGTTCGGCATCCACAACTGATGCCAGCACTGCAAACAGCACAACAAATACAGTGACGAGACTTATGAGTTTAGGAAATCATGAATAAAAGGTAACTGTTTTTAACGATACGGAAATTGTCTGAAAGAGCGAAATTGCCAAAAGTCCTTACCGTTGTTACTGCTGTGTGAGCGTTGCTCTTTAGCAGTTACGTCGGTCTTTTATATTAGCAAACATAGTGGGTGAAATTAGTAACTTGAGTTTTATTTTGAATTAGCGACATGAAATTGGGAGAAAATACTTGAAAACACACACCACCTGCACTGATGCTGGAACAAAAACTTACAAGACATCTCTTCAGGAGAGGCGTCGGCAGGGTCAGGGTTATTAGTTTTGGAACGTCGTCTGGGGGCCAGTGCGATCAGGCTGGTGAGCCAGCAACTTGCTTCGAAAATAAATCAACCCAAAAAACAACCACACGAACAACAAACTGCGAAACCGACAAGTCGGTGCCATTTTTACACTTTGGATACACAGACACAACTGATACCGACCACATCTACAGAAAAGCAAAAAATTAATAAAAGGATTGAAAAATAATATGAATTACTACCTGAATACACTGAGCAAACCCTGAAAAATAAGGGTTTGCACTTCGCACACTAATTCTCGCGACCAATTGCTTAGTGTTTTCAAAATTCGCCTATACGTCATCATCACGAGCTGCTATGTAAATACGTACGGGCTGACCACTATTATTTTCTGCCTCTGTAGTGATGAAATATCCACGGACCACGTGCAGTCAACCAATATCAGAGCGGATCCTCCTAATTATGCTGATCACCTAGTATGTCATGTCAGTGTTTAATTACTGTACATACACAAGGTTAAGAGCCACCAAAATGGCGTAAAGCCTTAAACAACAGCCATGGAATTCCCTCCCTTTTTTGACCTCTCAAAATCCCTTCCTTTAACTTTCTTTTCCTCTTTTTGACTATAGAAAATCTCTTCCTTTAATTTTCCCTCCCGCGTTTTGACCGTGACCCTTAAATTTTTACGAGAGCAGTGAAATGTTCATCTTGTCCGAATGGTTTCACCGGTTGAAATTTTGTACTTGCTCTATGCACATGCATATAATACTTCATAATCATAACACCCATTCTACAAGTTTCTGGTGCTTAAGTACTATAGATAAAAATTTTTTATAATTAACTGGCCCCAGCAAGGCCGCATAGCTGTTGCCTTTATGCGGTTATCTTAAACCGCTGATAATTCCCGATGACGGCTATAAAATCAACAGGATGGATGACCTTGTTTGGTTTGACTCCGGTAGATAGGCGAATCCAGAACGAGGAGCACGGGGACGAAAGCGCAGCTCAAAACGATGCCCACAGTGACGCCGACACTCAGTACATTACGTACCCTGCTGTAGCCGACCGAACGCCGCTTACGTGATAGCTAGATGCTGTTACACGACCTTTTAACAAGGAGGCGTCATTATTGAGAAAGCGGAAAATAGACTGAGTATATTCTGTGGGCTGTAAACGAGCTTAGGGTATCTTCGGTCCATGAGGTCATAAAGGACAGAACGACAGACGGAAGTAATTTCTGTAGATTACACAGTAACGATAGCGATCATCAAACGTTTATGGCGCTACGCAGTCACAAGTTCGTGTCACTATTGCAGAGAACTCTTTTTTATCTCATTATGAGCCGTACACCCGGCAACCAAACCCATTCTCGAAGTCAAATGCAGCGCCTGTAGAAGCCATTTGACGTAAAATGTCCAGGGTGATGCGCTCCCGGTTTGGAATAGTTTCCGTGCAATCCGCTCGACGCCGACGGAATTTCATAACCCAAAAAACGAAATTGCCAAAAGCCCATACCACTGCTTATCCCATTCCACTGGATGTATACTTTGCGGGATGGCTTCTTTGGCATGAATCGCCATATGAGAGGCACTTTATAATTGCATTTGTAGTAGCTGCTATAGTAATGCGCAATGCGGTTCGTATGCATACCAGCCATTTAGTTGCTATTCTCCGACTGCAACAGACAACGAATTCAATGGACTCAGCTACATTTGTGAGGGTTATGTTTTTTAGTAAGCCCCACCGAAGATCGAATCATCGAAGCACTTCACTCTCCATAATAACAATTGTCGTCGACAATTTGTCGACACATGATGTCAACGTTTTTCTAGCTCTAAAATTCAATCAAATAGCTTAGAGATTACTGAACTTCAACTACTGTACATCTTCCAAATCAGCCGGGAAAAAGAAAAATGTATTTTGGTTCAACTGCAGTCTCTCAGTACTTCTGTCCACTCTTTCTCCTATCAAACACTCTGTCCATTGAAAATCTGCTGCGGATACAATCTGCACTGGGACATTTCATTCAGGCTGCAGCATGTTTAATAAATTACGCTAATTCGATTTCGACGAACCGCCAGAGTGTTCTGAGGGAGTATCACAGACTAATCAGCTGGGCAGGTCATATGAACAGATGGCCTGAGTATTTGGGCGGCGGCGATATAGGTGCCGGCATCGTCAGGGTAACGTGCGGCGATGTAGCGGTGACTTCCGCATAAGACGGCGGCGCTCCCATGAAGGGCAGATCAGGAGCCGGAGCTTCCCGTCTGCCCACACCCAATGGTCGAGTGGTAGCGCTTCCCGTTGGGGTTTGCCCGGTGGGTTGGTTCAACAAGGCCCGCCGCCTGGCTGAGTAACTCACAGCAATACAGAGAGCGATAATGAAGCATATGGGAAGAAAGATTCCGACAATGATCCCTGTACTGGCGCCGGGACTTAGTCCGTTGCTGTCCCTGGAGGGGACAGTTGGTACCGGTGGGGATGGAGCAGGTGTTCGGATATCGCACTGCCGCCAATTGGCCGGATTGCCTCCATTCACGCTAGCCTCGAAGTTTGACGGACAGTTGACACGGTCGTCTAACCCGCCCTTATCACAGATGAAGTCATTACTGACGTAGCCCTGTAGCGCCTCGCACCAAGAATTGCTGCGATAGTGGGGCGAATCTGTCGGCGACACTACATTACTATCGAGACAATGGAAAATAATAAATCTATGAGACAGCGAAAATGTGAATCCGTGTACCTTCAGTGATGACAAAATCGATAAACGTCTGGTCTAAGTCGCTGGAACGGGATGCACTGCGGAAGTATTCCAGAGTGAAGGATGGCTGCTTACTGTACGATGTCAGTGCTTGAGCGACGGAGGACGGATAATACGACTGTGTCAGGTCGCCGGTCAGTCTCTGGAGTAGGCTGCGCGATCCATTTCGGTTTTCATAGATTTTCAGATAATCGCCACGAGGAAGCGTGATTTCCCTGCAGATACAAATTATTGGTCACAGGGCACCGAAACAGCGTACGCTCCAAATTAACTGAACTGTTGCTGGCATCCCTTGAATCTGGTAAAAAAAGTTTACTTGCCTTATGTTGAAATAAAACGCGAAATTATCTGACCATCCGCCGCAGTCGGAGTCCAGAGTAACGGTGAAGGAGCAGAGTCCACGGGACAGCGCGCCTATGTCGTAATACCGGAATGTGCCGGCTCTGCCGTTGCTGTTATTTGGACATTCCATCTCCAAACTCTGGTTGCAGGTTTCCTCCAAATCGGGATCTGTAAAGTCGTGACGTCTGTACAGTTTGTACCCCTCAGATTACTACACCTCAAGATTTCGATTTCATTGAAGCCAGTTGCTATTTAAATTCAATAAGCGAATTAATTCAATTTAAAAATCAGAATACGATAATTTATTAGAAATCGAAGTACACTGAAACAAATGGGCAGATCAGCCACGACACTTTTGAATCCTACTGGAAATTTTGGTATTGTAGTACTGCTTCCGGCCTACATCCGGGAACAGTCAACCCTTATCACTTACACGAACTATAGCGCTGTGCCGAGGTATACGGAGCCCACGATATACATCCAAATAGAAAGATCAGGAGCAGCTCAGTTCTATCATTCATTGTCGCCATAATGTTCAGAATATTACAGCAGTGGTACGGAAAACCCCAATGTCTTCACGGCCTCTCTCGGATTTTTCTACGTAACAGTAAGCAGATTTATTTAAGAAAATTACGAGTGAAGTTACGAGAAAACTGCGAGTCCGGCGGAAGTCAACCAGTGTCAACTGTTATAAATATGGTACATTGTATAATCACTGTCTACACAGTCAGGGAAAATACAGATAAACATCATCAGGCGCAAGTTTCTTCCTATCGATCTATACTTTGAGCTTTTAGTCACCTATCTCACCATCAATGCTATAGACAGTGTGCAAGATAGTGGTAACTCAATTTGTGAACGCATTTTCATAGTACTAGGAGGGGGTAAATACACGGGATAGACAGAAAAAACGGCAATAATAAGGGATAACCATTCACGTGTTGTGCAACACTGCCAGCCACCAAGTGAAGGCAATTCGGTGACACAGTGCACAACAGCCGTTGAGACTATTGTCTGAGTTGTTTCTCCGTAGACTTCTATGTTAAACTTAACCACCTTCATCTTGCACATTTCAGAACTAATCCGCGCAATCGATAGCTCAAAAGAACAGAAAAAATTTACAAGATTTTGATATCAAACTACTCGCCACTTATTAAAACTGAGGCAAGATTGAGCCATTTGAGTTTCTCGTAGACTAAGCATAGGAGTTGGATGGTTTGCTTCCACGTTGCTCCTGTGCTTTGTCTATGGAAAACTTAATTTGGCTCTAACTTGTCGTGTTTCTCATAGATCACGGCTTACGTGGTATCGAAAATCTTGTTAGTTATTCCTTGTTCTTTTAAGATATAAATTGCACGGTTTGATTCTGAAATGTCCAAGACGCAGGTGTTTGAATATAACATAGGATTCTACGAAGAAGGCAGCTCGGGTCTCAAAGCCTGAATTTTGTGTAATGCCGCTGGACTGCCTGCCCTTGGTGGCTGGCCGTGCTGCTCAACACGTAAATGGTTATCCCTTATTATTGCCGTTTTTTCTGTCTATCCCGTGTATTTACCCCCTCCTCGTATTCATTTGACGTAGAAGTTGCGACAAAAGTGTCGGTTTTCGGAAAATAACGGATGAGTCCACTAGGCGGCATATGCAGCAACATGCAAAAGCGCAGGCCAAAAGTCTGAAACAGAACATTGTAGATCTGTTGGAAATACTTACAGTATAAATGCAGATATCATCCATACTTGTACTGCAATATTTTTGCTCGTTTCAACAATCAGTGTGCGGTGACGTTGTTCGTTATCTTTTTCAGCGCAACTGGAGCGCACCGGCTCATAAAACAAATCATAAAATCATACAACTCGATTCCGGCTTATTTAAGAAACAGTGCGGCCCGGGCTTTGGCAAAGAACGTTGATAAACTAAAATATGTATTTACAGCCACTTCATATATGGAAAAGCGAAAAAATGTAATCGCAAGAGCTTGTTAAAATTGAAGAAATTACCTCTCCGGTGGACATGATAAAGATGCACACGCTGTATCAAAATGATCTGCATCGCACACAAAATGCATTAAAATTCACGTATTATATGGATTGGTAGTGCTTGATTATTACATACCGTACAAATGCTGAATTGTTAACGAAGTGACGAGTTAATTAAGAATTCTACACTGCATGCTGTATTAGGCGCCGGTATTTGTACCGAATTGCCGGTGGTCTCAGATTAATTTTCGTATTGTCGTTTTACCCGGTATCGGTGCTAGATTATTCATTTTCGTCTTCGCATACAAAATATTTTGAAAATTATATGGTTACTATGATACTTCTACTGTTTGCATTTTCTTTTGCATAGTCGTCATACTTATAATCACTTACATCCGGTACTCACAGGCTTTTCGTCTAAAGAAACGTTAATTTTGATTACACCAGGACACCAGCTTCGGTTTGAGTATGTTGGAAAATTGTAATGAACACTTTTTTGGCATACATTAAAACAAGAAGCAAAATTAATAAAACCGTAATACATAGAAAAATAACTGTCGTATATGTAATACGCTTTAATATGATATAATAGAGTAATAGCACAAAGTCTCAGATTCTCCTACCCGGCTGGTAATCGTACTAAATCATCAGTATTATCGCACACCACAACTCATGACCTTTGCACTTAGCAACATCATACACTACATCTCCTTCCCCGATAAAAAAAAATTATTTTGCATATCCGTATCGTGTTGGCTCTACTCCCTTATTCGCTCTCGCTGACACACGCAATGGAGGAGCAGGATTCGCTGTAGCAGGCACTGCTACCGGAGGAAGTTCTGTCCTCGGAGCTGGTTCCGGCTGTGGCTGGATGACAGGCTCCGCTATTGCAGGTTGCTGATCACGCTGTGGGATTTCCGATATCATCGCCTTTGGCACTGTTGGCGATGTAACGTCGTTGGGCTCAGCTGCAGTACGCCATTCACGCGGCCTGATCTGGTCTTCGTGGCGGAACCACTCTTGGCCGTCGACCGTAACTGTCCATTGACGGTTTCCTTTCTTAGACCGCAGCTGGCCAGGTGTCCAATGGGTTTTAGGACCGTGGCGGAAATCACGTACTAACACTAGCTGTTCGCCATGGAAGTTTTTTCGCTTTGGCATGCTGATCGAAGTTACGTTTATGACGGTCCATGTTGGCTTGCCGTGTCTCGTTCGCATCTGGATGTACCAAATCCAGCGCTGTGCGCATTCGGCGCTTCAGGAATAGCTCATCAGGCGAACTTCCTGTGGTGGCTTGCGGTGTCGTACGATACCTGAATAGGTATTTCCGCAATGCATCCTCGATGTTACCATTGTTGTCGGCCAACATCTTGGTCATGGCGTCCTTGAATGCGCCAACATACCGCTCCGCCTGCCCGTTCGATTGCGGGTGTCCAGGCGCCGTGCGCAGGTGCGCAATCCCGTTAGCTTTGCAGTAGTCTGCAAACTCGGCACTGGTGAACTGCGGCCCGTTATCCGTGACCAGCTGTTTCGGGTATCCATAACGGCCACATAAATGTTCCAGCACGGCAATCACGTCGCCGGACTGCGTACGCCGCATCTTGACGACTTCCGGCCACTTCGAGAAGCTGTCCACAATCACAAGAAACATCTCGTTGTGGAACGGGCCTGCGAAGTCCATGTGCACACGCTGCCACGGATTCTCGGCAACTGGCCACTGCTGCAAGGGCACTTTCGCCGTCTCTTTTGCTGCCATCGTGCAAGCAGGGCATTTCTTGGCCAGCCGTTCGATGTCGCTGCCCAGTCCAGGCCACCAGAAGTGACTTCTGGCTTCCGCCTTCATCCGCACCACGCCAGCATGTGTAGCATGCAGATGTTTCAGCAGGGCCGCTTGGAGGACTCCGGAATGACGGTTCTCGCTCCCCACAGGACACATCCAGCGACCACCGACAGTTGCAATCGTCTCTGGTGGTATGGCTGAAATTCCGGTGGTGCCTTCTCTGGCCATCCCTTAAGGACCAAGTGACGACACCGAGCCAGCACGCGATCTTTGCCAGTTTCACTAGCGATTTTCTTCGCGTCCACCGGTGTTTCACTCAACACTTCCATTTGGACAGCATGGATGGCTTCGTGCATTCCCCAGTCGTTGGCATCGAAGATGTCCTTCGAGTGCAGGGGCAGCCGGCTCAGTCCGTCAGCCTGTCCAAAGTCATCGGTAGACCGGTACTCAATGGTAAAGGAATACGCCATGAGTGCAATGGCCCACCGCTGGAGGCGGTTGGCAGATACCGCAGGGATTCCAGTCTTCCGGCCGAACACTGTGACCAACGGCTTGTGGTCAGTAAGGAGTGTGAACTCCCGACCCGCCAGGTACTGGTCGAACTTCTTCACGCCGAAGACCAAGGCCAACGCCTCTTTCTCTATCTGCGCGTACCGCTGTTCAGTCTGCGTCAACGTCTTTGATGCATGGGCAATGGGCTGGTCTTCTCCGCTCGGTCCGCGGTGGCTAATGACAGCTCCGATCCTGTATTGCGACGCATCCGCTGCGAGGATTAGCGGCTTTGCAGGATCGTAATGCACCAGCATTGTGGCCTGTGCCAGCTCCGCCTTCAGGCTGCGGAAGGCACCATCACATTCTCCTGACCACTCCCACTTGACGTCCACTTTCAGCAGGGCGTTGAGGCAGTACGTCTTGGTCGCCAGCTGGTGAATGAACTTGCCGTAATGGTTGATCATTCCCAAAAAGGATCGTACCTGGGCGACGTCCACCGGTGCTGGCATCTCCATGATCGCGCGAATCTTCGTTTCGGAAACATGTCGGCCGTTTCTGTCAACCACGAATCCCAAGTATTCTACCGACAGCTGAAGGAAGTTGCACTTCTGCTGTTTCAGGGTGAATCCTTGTCGGTTCATTCGTTCGGCTACTTCGGCCAGATTCGCAAGGTGCTCCCGCCGTGTTCTGCCTGTGATTATTATGTCGTCCATGTACACAGCGACGTACGGGATGCCATTCAGCAATTCTTCCATCATCTGTTGGAAGATGCTGGTGCTGCAGCCACTCCGAACGGCAGTCGGGTGTAGCGATACAGTCCGCGATGCGTATTTATCGCTACCAACTCACGGCTCGGTTCATCCAGTGGCACCTGGTGATATGCATCGGACATGTCAATCGTTGTAATTCCTCTCCGCCATTTAGTATGGCGAACAACTCATCGGGCAAGGGCAGGGGATACCGCTGCACATCCAGGGCATCGTTGAGCCCGGTGCTCAGATCCGCGCATATCCGCACTGCTCCGCCTTGCTTCCGCACCACTACTATTGGCGCCGCCCATGCCGATCGCTCGATCCGTTCCAGAACGCCCAATCTCTCCAGGCGCTCGATGTCCCTCTCCACGGGCTGTCGTAACGCAAAGGCACGGGGCGTGGCTTGCAGTACTTCGGCACTGCATCCGGTTTTAGGTGCAGATGCGCCTGGAACGTCCGGCAGCATCCAAGTTCTTCCCGAAAGAGATTCTTGTTCTCTTTCAGTATGGCTTCCAGTGACCTTTCTTCTTGCACCTGACCAATCGCCAGTTCAGACATCTTGTGGTGTTGGAGGTTGAGCGCGGTGATCCAGTTCCTTCCCAGGACGTTCGTGCCTTCCTCCACCACAATGAGTTCCATCAACCGTTCTTCACTGCTGCCGTCGCGCTTCACTCCCACATAGCAAGCTCCAAGGACTGGGATTTCGTGTCCTGAGAAGCTACGGAGCTTCGAGTCGCACGGGAACAGGTCCGGTCGTTTCAGTTCGATCCACATCTTCCTGGTGGCAATGGTCTTCGCCGATCCCGTATCCAGTTCAAACGCAACTGACCGTCGGCAGACCGTTAAATGCACCATGATGGGATCCCTTCTCCAGTGGTCGTGTTCAGCACGTCGTAGACGGCTTCCACTCTGCCACTGCGTCGCTGGGTTCCCCTTCCTTTTGCCGCTCCGGATCTGCAAACTTTGCAATATGTCCATCCTTACCACATTTCCGGGCTGATTGCGAAATTTGCAGTCCGCTTGATCGTGGTTCGTCCCACCACATCGGTAACAGGCCTTCGTCTTCCGTGGGCTCGGCTGTCTGGCAGCATTGCTCTTCCTGCTTTCCGGATGACCTTTACCGTGGGAATGTCTTCCTCCAAGTTATTGTTCATCTTTGCTTGCTCCTGTCCCGTTTCAAACCTTCTGGCGAGCTGCAGCGTTTCATCAAACGATTTGAGTTCCTGGGACATCAGGTGTCTTCGTCGTATCACTGTGCACTCCCGCAACAAACACAGCGCTCAGTAGATCCTCCAGGATGCCTCCCGGAACTTGCACGTATATGTTCTGTTCCGTAGTTCATTAGAAAACTGTACGAGCGACTGGCTAGCTTGCTGACGGGTGCGGAAGAATGTAGCCCATTCAGTCGTCTGATAGGTCACCTTGATGTATATGTCGTCGAGTTTCTTCAGCAGCTCATCATACGAAAATTCGGTTGGATCTTTTCGAGTCGGTAGCGCTGACAACATCCTGAAGGCGCAATTCCAGGCTGTTGATCAGCACTTCCTTCTGCTTCGCAGCTGTAGTTTCTGTGAGGGACAGGTAGTTTTTGAGGAGGGACTTCCAGGATGTCCATTCAATCTGATCCGGATTGAAACGGATTAAGTTCTGGGCTTTCTCCTTCGCGGCAGTCATTGGGGAAGACACTGGGGAAGTATCAGAAGTCGACGTGGATGTATCGACCGATCCGGGCATACACTCGCTTGAGTAATACCGCCTTCACGCCAATGTCGTATATGTAATACGCTTTAATATGATATAATAGAGTAATAGCACAAAGTCTCAGATTCTCCTACCCGGCTGGTAATCGTACTAAATCATCAGTATTATCGCACACCACAACTCATGACCTTTTGCACTTAGCAACATCATACACTACAATAACGAACGTATGCAGTACCTAAATAAGAATAAATGCAGTTACCGGTAACCAAAAAAAGATTAGCAACTGGCGGAGCTCTCAGTGGTCAACTGCAGCCAGGGCAAGTCATTCGAAAACATAACAGGGTACAATAATATATATTTTTACTAAAGAAAAGGTAAAATTTATGTGTGATTTACGATTGTGTTAGCTAAAGCACAATAAGTATCCTCAAATAAATTTTAAACCAATATTATTGTCTGTTTATAGCCGTGAGAATTACGAATCGAAATAAAGTTATTAAAGTGTATTAAGTATCGTACAGTATTAATTTATTGCCGATCAGCATGCTGCTTAGCAACCCTACCTATTACCACTTTGTACGAGAATTGCCGAAAATTGGCGATAATCAGCGCATGTAGCCGTGGCATTCGAACCGACTGCGTCTACACAACCTCCATGGAATTGTACTTAATACATTTTAATCTTTGGAAGTGAACGTAACATTTTGCCTTATCTGTGCATGAGTACGATCCCCCTGGACATCCGGACGACATGAAACGTTTAAAAGTTCACCGCTGCTCGTGTCACATGTAATATAGGCGTCTGAAGCTATTACGGCGCCGTGTCTGGACCGAAACTATCCTGTTCAGCGTTATCAAGCCGTCACCGGCGTCCAACGTGGGCAGCGACCTTCAGGTACAGTATTTTTGTGATATGCGGTCTGCAGAGTGTTATGATTGATAGTTCCGCGTAGAATTACTGTAAAATGGTCGCTCGGTCTTATTACGCGATCAAGTACATGCGCGCATTGTTGCTCGGCATGTTGGTACTGACTTTTGAAAAAAAAACTATTCTGCTCGCAGCTGCGCGTCGCAGAACAGGCGTTGAGAGTGTACACGGTATCATCCCATTTCGCCAACGGGACATTTCGCCAACCGGGTAATTTGCTCCCGGTTACTGAACTACAGTACTATGCTATAAGACATCGTATATATGCCATTAGCATTAATGCACACGGCTCAACGCTACAATAACGTACAGATTGTACATCTTAGAATGTGATTCGAAAGTGAGCGGCACATGAACAATTGCTGATGTAAATGAGTCGATTCGAAGTCATTACTCACATGTCAGTCATATTATAAGCAAGGCTGATTAAACGTAAAATCGAACCCTCAGTACCACTTTTAATATGTGCACAGAAAAGCCGTTGGATAATCATAAATTTCGTATTAACCACAATTTTCCAGCTTTTCTGTCTACGTTTTACATAGCAGGGCGCAGATAATTAACTGCCTAGTTAATTATGACGGAAATAACGTTTTCTTTTACCAACCGCAAAGGCAAGGTGTTGAATTACAAAGGTTATGAGTATATCGAATTCTGGAAACGCGCAGAAGACAGAACGGATAATTGTCAGAATTGGCGTTGCCGAGAAAGAGCCCACTGCAGTGCTCGTTTATATTATGCCGATGGCAAAGCTGTTGAGCGCGGCCAGCATTCTCATGCCCCGGATGTCATAAAGGTTACTGCAAAATCAGCAAGACAGGCGTTGAAGGTTCGTGCAACAAATACAGTGGAGCGACCACGGCAGATCATTGACGAAGTTCGCGCCGGGATGCCTGTATATGCTGCAGTAAAATGTCCTCTTACAACGCTCTTGCCAAAACCATTGGACGCCAAAGAAAAGCGGAAGGTATCCCTACTGGTCGTGTAACTTGCTTAGCTGATATCGATGGCAGTTATTTTCTGAAAGAAACAACACGCAATGAATCCGTGCTAATTGCCGATACTGGTGCAGAAGACATTCATCGGATTATTGTGTTCGGAGATCCGAAATGCTTCGATTATCTGGAGAGAACAAATGTTTGGCTCAGCGATGGCACCTTCAGCGTTAGCCCGCCTGTTTTCACGCA